GTATGTCTCCAGACACGGCTTCTAACACACTGTACTGCTTCTTCAACCAGCATTGTGCTGACCAGCATTTATTTATTCTTTTATTATCCAGATGCAGTAGTGTTGCTTACATTTCATGTTTATCAGCAAATATTTTAACCTAAAACTATCCGAACGTACTATTTCATGGAGGAGAGTGCTCACCATTTTTTATACATGCATGAATTCTGCTCAGCACATGCAAACAACTCCTGTGACAGAGAACACGAAGAAGCATGGTCTTCTCCACGCATGACGGAAGCCGTCTGAAAAATCAGCGGTCCAGTGGATTTAGTTGATCATTATATCTCAGGCTTCAAAATATACATCGTGAGTGTGGGAAGTTGTCCTGGTCTTGAGGAAGCCACTGGAATATGGATGGGAAACAGAGACTTAAGTATATGTTACATATACTGACAGTATGACATGGTTCTATAGATCAATTTATAATAATAAATATTTTAATTTATCATAATTTATAAAAACGTTGTTTATCAGTAGAAGAAAATGAAGGAGTGGGAAGAACTGTATTGTAGGACGCTGAATTTCAGCAAGTGGACTTGGCATGCCTTTCCATGATTCAGGGCAAAAAGTGCTATTGTTAGATTTATTTAAAAAAAAAAGACTGATAACACACTATTTTCATATCTTTTTGTTTATTTGCACAACTTTAAACCAGATTACTGGTTAAAATCCAACAGTACACAATTTATAAAGTAAAAATATTTTATAAGGAAAGCATATGACCGGTGTGAATTACAGAGGGAGGTTTTGTTTTAGTTTTTTTCTTGTTTGGTTTTGTTTTTTCTTTTTTTAAGAAAAAACCTGCCTAAAATAATCTTGTAAAAAGTGTGTATTTTAAAATTTTGTTTTAATATAGATTATTATAAAGCCAAAATATAATTGTTTTCAGATTTGGAGTTTAAAATATAACTATAGAGGTGACCTGATTCTTTGATGTCTCATAAAATGAGACTTTTTGTAAATTAATGTATAATAAAACTGAAATAAGATTATTTTCCATTTGAAATTTTGTATAGTTTAAAAGCGCTTCTGTGTCTTTGTTGGTACTGGGCCACTGCAGATCTTTAGTGCAGAGTTTATATTTAGCTAAACTGTTATGTTAATTAAGAAATGCATAAATCTTTTATTCTTAATATTTGTAATTCTAAATAAATCGATCTATGAAATTTGATATCTGCATTCTCATTTCATTAACACAAGTTGATAGTTAATTGTATGTAAAATGTTTCAGAGGGCTGGTGAGATGACTCAGCAGGTGACAAGTGTGTGGTGCCCAGCCTGGCAGTCTGAGTTTCATTCTCAGGACCCACAGGGTGCCAGGAGAGAAGTGACTACAGCACACACACACAAATAAAAGCAATATGCTTTTATATCCAGGTGTGGTGGTGCAACCCTTTAATCCAGCACTTGGAACCCAGCAGAGGTAGGTACATTGCTGTGAGTTCAGGAATACCCTGGTCTATATGGAGAGAACCTGTCTCAAAAAAATTTTTTTAATGTTTTCAAGAATTACAGTTTCCACTAAGTTTTCAAGAGGTACACTACAGATCAGTTGCCAGGCCTTTTATATTGTTTTTGTTAAAGACAAATTCTCACTATGTTGCCCAAGCATGCTTTGCAGCTGGGACTTTAAGACACACAACCACCATGCCCAGCTCTAATCATCTTGAAAAACATCACCATCCAGTATTAGGGAGAAGTGATTTGCTTTGGTTTTCATCTGCTAGTAAATCAATGTGGAAACACTAAACAAGTAAATTATTTCTTCTACTATAGGCTAGCAGAAGACTAAATTTAATAATATATTCTGCATGGATGTAGATAAATGTTTTTAAAGAAATTTTTAAGATTTATTTATTATGTATAGAGCATTTAGCCTTGGATGCCAGAAGAGGGCACCAGATCTCATTATAGATGGTTGTGAGCCAACATATAGTTACTGGGAATTGAACTCAGGGATTACCTGGAGACAGAGTGCTTGCTCAGCATGTATAACACCCAAGACACAGTGTTTGCCTGGCCTGTGTGAGGCCCAAGGTACCAGCACCACACATGAAACAAGTTTCTTCCTCTCCAGGTCTCATGCAGCCAGGCTGGCCTCGAAACTGCTCATAACTGAAAGTTGCCTTGAACTTCTGATCCTCCAGGTTCCACTTCCCAAGTGTTAGGGTTGGTCATGGCTGCCACACCAGCTTTAAGCTCTCAGCTTGGAATCTATCTTCATCACTGCTACTCACTCCACTGCTGCCGTCTGTAGCTGGGACATCACAGTCATCTCCACTTAGCTCTCAGCATCTCCACATTCAGACAGGATAGCATTTTAAAATGCAGAGTTGGTCGTGCTATCCCTGTCTAGGAATACCTTTAAAGCCTGTGACCTCGGGACAAATTCAGAAGTCTGAGAAAACCCACAAAGCCGGGCACAGTCCAGTCTCCACTCCACTGCCTCTCCATCTGCTTCCTTATCCCCTTCTCTGTAACTTCCAACCATTCCTAACTGGTCTTACTGCAGCAGCACTTTCCCGAGAGGAAGCTCCACCACAACCCACATCCAGAAATGCTTCAGACAGCCTACCTTTGCAATCGTGAGCCTAATTCTGTTCTTGTAACTCACAGCAGTGTGTGAGAGAGAGAGAGAGAGAGAGAGAGAGAGAGAGAGAGAGAGAGAGAATACATACACGCACACATATAGATCACAGATATATATTGTCTATTTTATCTCTAAATCCTTTGACATTATGAGCACTTACCTGAAAGATAATAGCTTGCATATAAAAGGGTCAGAGTGATAAAGGAGATGTGCCGGTTAACTGAGTGGGTTGAAGTCATCCTTCCTTTAGTCCTGGCCCTTGCTGTGGTTTTTTTTTTTTTTTTTTTTTTTTTGGTTTTTCGAGACAGGGTTTCTCTGTATTGTTTTGGAGCTGTCGGTCCAGCCCAGCCTCGAACCCACAGAGATCTGCCTGCCTCTGCCTCCCGAGTGCCTGGATTAAAGGCGTGTGCCACCACCGCTCGGCCCTTGCTGTGTTTAACTCTGTGACCATGAGCCATTCTTCTATTTTCTGTCTTTCATTTCTTTTTTTATGTGTATGGTGTTTTGCCTGTCTGTTCATATGTGCACCGTTGGTATGCCTGGTGCCCATGGGGGGCCACAGGAGGACATAAGATCTGGAACTGGAATTAAGGACAGTTGGCCACCATGAGAATCAAACTTGTTGCAATAGCAACAAGTATTCTTAACTGCTGAGCCATCTCTCCAGCCCCTAATTACACGATTAACTTTAAGGTGCTCTGAAATCTTTTCCATCTTGTCACTGGATTTTCATCATCTCAACTGGCCTAAACAAACTATCGTCTAAATTGTCACCAGTTTTAAGTACGAGACTCTGATGGTGAGACCTCAAACTAGAGTATCAGTATTTGAACAGATCTTAAGTTAAGGTACTCATTTACACACACTGGGAATGCAATAGCAGAATGAAATATGAAACCAAACTACTCAATGAGTGCTACCTACTTTGAACAAGCACAGGTAAGTGAGAGTGAATGAGACTGGTCCCTACAGCTCATGTTTGAATACTTGGTGCCCAGTGGGTGGAGCTGCCCGGTCTTGTGGGGAATGTGTGTTGCTGGCTCTGAGGCCATCCCCAGTACTCTACCTCCTTATCTTCAGATGTGAGCACTTCCTGTCTTCATGCCCCCCTTCTACATCATGGACACTAACCAACCCTCCGAACTGAAAGCCCAACTGAACACTTTATGTGCTGTCCTGCTTGTGGAGTTTCATTACAGCAATAGAAAAGTAACCAATAAACTTTTTCTTTTTTTTTTTTCTTACATTTATTTACTGGTCTTGGGGGGGTACACACCACAGCACTCATGGGGAAGTCAGAAGCCAACTTGAGGAAATCCCTTCTTTCCTTCCACTCCTGGGGATTGAACTCAGGTCATCAGGCTTGGTGGCAGGCATGTTTACCCTCATTGAGCCATCTCAACAGCCCAGCACACAAGCTTTTAACTCGAATAAATTCTCAACGCACTGTACTTGGAGAAACTTCCCTTGGAAACGTTTTCACAGCCATTCAGTATATGCTCAGCAGCTGTGCACTGACACATGGTGATTAAGAGCCGCCTGAAAACATAATTCATTTTGATGGAATTTACATTCAGTAATCCATACAAGAAACATAATAACAAGTGCTAAGAAAAAAAGGTGGTCAAAGTAACAGGTACAAAAATTAAGACTAGTTAGAAAAAGTTTAGGTTGCGGGGCGGTGGTGGCGCACGCCTTTAATCCCAGCACTAGGGAGGCAGAGGCAGGCGGATCTCTGTGAGTTCGAGGCCGGGCTGGACCGACAGCCTCCAAAACAATACAGAGAAACCCTGTTTCATAAAACCAAAAAAAAAAAGAAAAAGAAAAAGAAAAAGAAAAGAAAAAGTTTAGGTTTCAGAAAGGTGGGTGTCTAAGCTGTTTTCAAAAATAAACTTTGTTTTTTCTTTCCTTGGTTTTTTCGAGAGATAGTTTCTTTGTGTAGCCCTGACTGTCCTGGAACTCCCTCTGTTGCCCAGGCTGGCCTGGAACTCAAGAGATCCACCTGCCTTTGTCTCCCGAGTGCTGGGGTTAAAGATGTGTGCCACCACCGCCCATCTGAAAAAAACTTTTAAAACAAAAATAGATTTAAAGTGGGGGCTGGAGAAATGGCTCAGTGGCTAAGAGCACTGACTGCTCTTCCAGAGGAGCAGAGTTCAATTCCCAGCACCCACATGGCAGCTCACAAGATCTGTACAGATTTGTAACTCAAAGATCTGACACCCTCACACAGACATACAGGCAGGCAAAATACCAATGCAAATAAAGTTTTAAAAAATGTTTAAAAAAAACTTTTTTCAATGAGTCCCAACAAGAAAGGAATGAGTGAGACAGAGAAACATATTGAGGATAAATGATCTTAAGGTTTGCATAAGCTAAAGATGATGTCATTTATTGGGAGCACAATTTAATAACTGAAGGCTACCACAGATTTCCAAATAGAGTCATTTCTTTTTTGAGTATATGGGGAATGAGACGCACTGGGGTTCCCGGAGGAACTTGCATGTGGTGTCTTTGCTGATGAGTGTAAGGAGGACAAAGCCAGATGAAGAGCCAGTCAGGTGGGGAGCAGGGGAGACGTGCTTAGGACACAGTTTCAGTTAGGAAATATACGCTGAGGAAATCTGTGGTAATGGCTGTAGTTAATAACAACATACCATATACCTGAAAATTGCTAAAATAATAGATTTGGTGTCATCACAGAAAAAGAAGAGGTGACTATGTGAGGTCATACATGTGTCATACAGCTTGATTTGGACATATCTGTTGTATATCATACAATTTTAAACAAAAATAACAACATCCAGTCACAGTGGCACACACTAGTGATCCCAGCACTCGGAAGATAAAGGTAGAGTAATAAATCTTGGTGATAAAGGTTAGAGTTGAAGATGTGAGGTAGGATGAGTGACTGACTCTAGGATGAGTTCCTGGAGGGACCATGAGAAGGCAACAGCTGCCAAGAAAAAGGGGACATTGGGTCAAGCTGAGGGTTCCCACGAAGAAAACAAGTTCTGAACAATCAGTCTGGAAAACAAGGGTAGCCCAGGGGGAATGGACCAAGTTGAATGTGCAGACTCAGAGGTTCACAGGTACTCCTGGGCGGAAGGGTGGGTGGCTACTGGGAACAAGCCACCGTATAGGCTCAGTGGCGAAGAGGAGAAATCTTCCCGTGAGAACCATCAGCAACAACAAGGCCATGGACAGTCAGGGTTGGGGTAGTGTTCTGGTTCGTATCCCCCGGACTCCTCTTAGTGCATCCTGAACTCTCCCAGAATCCTCAAAAATTACCTAAGGCAGAGAAGATGTGCTCCTCCCATGAGTCCAACTTTGAGCCGAAGTCCTCGGAGAGCGTTGGATAGGTGTCAAAACTCTGACCTTGAGAACCAGAGGCACAGATGCCTCCTCCAGCCCTGTTGGGATCGGGAAGGCAGTTCACATCTGCCTCCAGAGGCAGCTGGGGCTTCAAACATCTTGCTTCAGTCCCAGGAGGAGAGCGATGGAGCCAGGCTTCCCGCCTTGCTGATAAGGGCTGAAACCACTTCCCACTCTGGCGCCTGGACTTGGCCCGTCTGTTCTGGAACCACACCTGGGAGACAGGAGGAAACCAACGCACAGCTGCTTTGAGTTGGAGTTGTTGTTGTTGGTTTGGGGGCTTTTATTGAGATGGCATCAAACTCAGGTTGTAGCCAAGGACGACTTTGACCTTGAACTTCCAGTTCTCCTTCCTCCACCTCCTCAGAGCCCGAGTTACAGGCAAGCACCACCACACCTGGCTTGTGAGGCGCTGGCTTAGACCCATGCACGCTAGGCAAACCCTCTACCAAGTGAGCTATCCCCAGACTGGCTCAGAGTTCTTTCCTATCACTTTGTTCACAAATAACAAAATAAATTCCGGTTATTATTAGCCATGGCTCTCAGAAAACACTGAGCTGGTTTGTGATGGTCAGGACACCAGACCTTCTCGGCCATTCTCAGATGCAAAACTGGAATGGTACCTGGTTCTATCTACACTTGCTATACTTGGTTTGTCTGTTTTTCATTTTACACATTAAAAAATAAGTAAAAGACGGGGGTCTTGTGGATCCCAGGCTAGCCTCACTCTGGATATACAGGCAAGGATGACACTGAATCTCTCGATTCTTCTGCCTCTGCCTCCTGAGTGCTGGGGTTGGTTTCAGGCATGTGCCAGCACACCCAGCTTTTGTCTACACTTTATATGGGATTTTTGTAATGAGAAAAGAGGTCACAGAAGTAAAGGCACCCGAAGTTCTTTGGCAACAAGACAACAAGGCTACTCTGCCTTGGTGATAGACATTCTAATTATTTAGAATCCAGTTTTGAATGTCTGGACTCCCCCTATCAAAACAAGTAGGTATTTTTTCCTTAACGAACCCATTTCTGTATGTAAATTTGCTATTTCTCCTTGATCACTGAAGGTGTGCTGCTTAGGAAGCCTCTGGTAACAACTGTTGAAAGTGACAGCTGGCCGGGCAGTGGTGGCGCACGCCTTTAATCCCAGCACTCGGGAGGCAGAGGCAGGCATATCTCTGTGAGTTCGAGGCCAGCCAGGTCTACAGAGCGAGTGCCAGGACAGCCTCCAAAACAATACAGAGAAACCCTGTCTCAAAAAAAAAAAAAAACCAAAAAAAAAAAAAACCAAAGTGACAGCTGAAGCTGGGTGGTGGTAGTGTATACCTTTAATCCCAGGGCTCCAAGGAAACAGGCAGGCGGGATATCTCTGAGTAGAAGCCAGCCTGGTATACCAGAATGAGTTCCAGGCTGGCCAGGGCTACACAGAAAAAAAGGCAGGGGCTGGGATCGGTCCACTGTCCTTGGATTAAACGAGGCCTCCTTGGGGGCACAGACTAACAGTCAAGACTGCGAGTTTCTAATCTGGGGAGGGGGGGGACACAACTGTAATCCAAGCACCCAGGAAACTGAAACAGGAGGATTGTGAATTCAAGTCCAGTCTGACCACTTAGCATCTGACTAACCAGCGTGAACCTGTCTCAATCACAGACAGACAGACAGACAGACAGACAGACAGACAGACAGACACACACACACACACCACGGGGGGGGGGCTCACAGCTTCTCTCAGCAACTCCAGGACTCTGATCTAAATTACTTCGGACAATAAACTCAATTTGCACTCATTTTTCTTCAAAGTTAGAAGAAAGTTGCTTGCCTTAAAGGTACCTGTTGTTTCAACCCTGCTCTGCTACTTAAAAGCAAAGCCAGAGGAAGACTCATGATGACACCCCCCTCATGACCCTCATCCTTTGTCTTCTTACTGGACCCTGGAAAGAAGCTCAACTACTTCCCATCGTTTTCCTGAGGGGACCTTTCAAGGGAGTCAGAAGCCTCCTAGCAGGCCAAATCATACGCTAACAAGGCGGTTAATGATATCTCTATTTAGTAGTCTAGAATCATGAGGTTCAAGAAAGTAACTTGTCCCGTTCGAAAAATGACTCAACAAGCCTGTGACTCTCCATGACCTCCACTCCGCGCACCTGCAAACGCGACTCACCTGGATCCTGGACTCGGGTAGCAGCGTGAGCGAGGCCAGGCGCTCCCGCAAGTGGATGTCGGGGTACATAGTCTGGCGGAAGACCAGCTCTAGCAACTGCAGCTGTTCCGAACTGAACGACGTGCGCTTGCGGCGCTGAGGCGCGGACGGGGCGGTCGCGCCTTTGGGGGGCGCGGGAGGATCCAGGCCGGCGGGGGTCTGCGCTTCTGGGCTTCGTCCTGAAAAGCACGGCGTGACCGCTGGGGCGCGGGAGTCCGGGGGCGCAAGGGCCAACCCGGTGGCGGGGCGCGCAGACCGGAGCAGCGGCCCTCCGGGGTGCGCGGCCGGGAAGGAGGGGAAAGCAGCGCCCTCGACGAACTGGAGCTGCTGGGACCCTGCTGCAGCCATGGCTCCCAGACACTTCCCACGACCCCCGCGCGCCTGCAGTTATAGCCACCCGGGGCTGGGGAGGGGGCGGCGGCGCCATCAAAGGCGTCGGAGAGGCAGGCCAGGTCTCCTTGGGGTGCGAGCCCGCCCCAGCCCCGCCAGACGCCGCGGGAATAATCGCTTCCGCTGACCTGGGGACAGAGGGAGGGAGGCGCGAACTTGAGCCAAGCCTCTCCGTCCCTTCCACGCCCATCCGCCAGCCAGCCGGACCACCAATCCACATGCCTAGAACCGATCTGCTTTAGAGGGGCTGCCCCAAGTGCCGGCCAGATTTGGACAGAACCCCCTCTTCTTGGTCAGAAGGTCCCTCAAAAGCGCTGGGATCTTTCCTGGGCCGGATTCTCAGGTCCCCGCACTGAGCCTGGCCCGCTGTCCGCCTGTCACCATCAAAGGCGCTGTTTACCACCCCTGCTATGTGCTAGACCTTACTCCAGGTTGGTCAAACAGCCTAGCCCTGTCCTCCTCCAAACCACCCGACACATCCTGAATCCAAGGGGGGTGAAGATAAAGAAACCTCAAAGGGGACAGGCCCACATCCTGAGCAGGGACGATGCTCCTGCCTGGAATATCTGTGACCTGTCAAGACGGAGGGTGTAAGCTGGGCGGGTTGAAGTTGAACCGGGTTAGCGCTCGCTCCTAGAGAGTCCTGACAGTGTCAGAGCACTCCTTGAAGTTCTGCTGCCTCTAATGCCATTGCGATTTCCTTTGTCCCCTGGGGCTCATTTGAAGTTCCCATTTTGTTTTATGCTGAATCTGTAGTTTAATTATGACTTCTCTGTGCATTCATTTATTCTTGTAAGTCTTCTCTCCCGTCCACCCACTCTCTGGTCCTGAGGACAGGACATAGAACCTGGAATATCCTAAAGAAGTCCTCCACTGAGCTATAGCCTCGGCTTTCTTTTGAAGTCGTGTGTGTGTGCGGGCGTGCGCGGGTGTGTGTGCCCGTGTGTGTGTGCGGGTGTGTGTGCGCGGGTGTCTGTGCACGTGTGTGTGCGCGGGTGTGTGTGCCCCTGTGTGAAATGTTGCTAGGCAGTGCTGTCCCACCGCAAGCATCTACCTCAGACAACAGTCTGCAAAAGCTTTGGTCAGACCCTGGTTCCTCAGTAGAGAGATCAGAGGCCTGTAACAAGGGCACAGCACCAGAGTGCTGCTTCTACAGGCTCAAGGGGGCTCTCTACCGGGGGAGGGTATTCCACAGCCCAGCCCAGGACTGTTCCCGCTGCTTCTACAATGCTAATAGGAGGTCTCAGAGGAGAGGGCATGTTCTCTTGTGTGCTGTTCATAAATGCAATATGTTTGCTCACATGCATGTGGGCCCCCATGGAGGCCAGAAGAGGACAATGTGTCCACTGTTAACCAAGATGCTGGATGTAAGCTGCCTGACGTGCTGCTGAGAACCGAACCCTTGTCCTCTGGAAGAACAGCAAGTGGGCATACCTTCGTGATGGGCAATCATTCCAGGCGTCAGAGCACAGAGCGATCTGAGAGCTGCTGAAGGTCTAGGCTTGAGTGAGTCAGGTGGCAGCCGGAAATCCTCCTGCATTCCATGATCCTGGAACCCCAGGCCTGCTCCTGCTTTTCAGACTAATCTAGTGGTGGCTCTCAGCCTTCTTCCTCTTCTTCTTCTTCCTCCTCCTCTTCTTCTTCTTCTCCTCCTCCTCCTCCTTTTTTTTTTTTTTTTGTTTCTTTTGTTTTGTTTGGTTTGACACAGGTTTTTCTGTGAAGCCTTGACTGTCCTGGAACTTGCTTGGTAGACCAGGTTGGCCTTGAACTCACTGAGATCCACCTACCTCTGCCTCCCAAGAGCTGGGAATAAAGGTGTGAGTCATCACTGCTTGGCTAGCTCCCAACCTTCTTTTTTTTTTTTTTTTTTTTTGTTGGTTTTTACGAGACAGGGTTTCTCTGAATTGTTCTGGAGGCTGGTCGGTCCAGCCCAGCCTTGAACTCACAGAGATCCGCCTGCCTCTGCCTCCTGAGTGCTGGGATTAAAGGCATGCGCCACCACCGCCCGGCTCTCCCAACCTTCTTAATGCTGTGGCCCTTTGTACAGTTCTTCATGTTGTGGTGACCCTCAACCATAAAATTATTTACTATTGATATGAATCATAATGTAAATATCTGATATGCAGGCTATCTGACCCCTGTGAAAGGGTTGTTAACCCTCAAAAGGGGTCCAGATCCACAGACTGGGAACCGCTGATCTAACTCTTCCCTCAAACATACATATGGGCTTGCTCTCTCTCAAAAACTCTCTCTCTCTCTCTCTCTCTCTCTCTCTCTCTCTCTCTCTCTCTCTCTCTCTCTCTCTCTCTCCTCCAACCATCTCCTTTTCTTTCCTCTTCTATTTCCTTGCCAGACTCACAGAAATCAGATTTTAATTTTCTATGCCTCCCCCAACCCCATACATATATCAGGGTCTTGTGTATTCCAGGCTAGCTAGCCTCAAACTCTCTGTATAGCCAAGGATGACTTTGAGCCTCTGATCTTCCCATCTCCACTGCTCAACGCTCTAATTATGGGCTTTCCACATAATGCCTGATTTTATACAAGGCTGGAGTTCAAACACAGGGCCTGCTACGTGTGCCGGGCAAGCACCATAGCAACTAGGCTACATCTTACAGCTTTCCTTTGTTTATTTAGGCTGGCCTTGAACTTGAGATCTACCCGCCTCAGCCTCCTAAACAGGAAATTTCATACCTGATTTTATTCTTTTTTTTTTCCTGCGACACTGAGGATCAAATCCAGGGCCTTGCACATGCCAACAAGGCCCTTACCACTGGATTACACCCCCAGCCCATCACTCACTTTTAATCCATTATTTAAAATGAATTATTTAAAGGCAAAAATATTTATGGCTGTGCTAGACTGTGCTTATATATGTAGTAGATGTGTGTGCTCCCATCTTATTCTTCAAGAAATACATTAAAATCCTAATACAAGCCCAGAGACCTAAAGAGATGGTGCGCCAAGCTGACCTCCAGATGGGACTCGAAGGAAGCACTGGACCCCAGTTACACTGGAAGTGAGAGACACCGGTCTCTGACATCTGGGAGCTGCTGTCCTTTGGCTGCATTGCTGTACCTGAGGGATTAAGAGGCTAGCCTGGAGAAGAAGCCAGAGGTCTCTGACTGTTGCTGGGGGGAGGGTGGGGGGGGGCTTGCCAGCAGCAGCTGAACCTTCCAGAGAGACTCAGGCTGGATTCTGGGCTGTAGGAATTCTCCAACCTGCTATGTGGAAATTCTCCCAGGTTCTTTGTGCATCCCTGTCCTCTGCCATCATCTGCTTGCTTGAGAAGGGACCTATCGGGCAGGGAAACGGGCTGATGGCCACAGCGACAGGCTGAGAGTTCCTGGGAGACAGAGTGTGCAGCTCAGCACTCCCAAGGAGTGGTCAGAAGTCAGTGTGCAATCTGTGACTTGACAGTCCTCCAAAGTGACCAACAGGCATCATTTTCTTTTGGCCATTTTCCCTCAGATTTGTCCCATGTGGCAACCTGTATTGAACAAAACCTCAGTTCCTCCCACTCTCTCTTTCTTTTGCTCTAAATTTGGCTTCCTTTTTTTTTCTTTTATCTTCTCTCCCTCTGCCCTGCCGTGTGTGTGTGTGTGTGTGTGTGTGTGTGTGTGTGTGAATGTGCACACACATGAGTTGTCACAGGACAATTCGTGGGACATGGTTCTATCCTTCCTCTCTGTAAGCCTGGACGGAACTAAGACTTGGTGGCAAGCACCTTGACCAGCTGAGCACCTGTCTGGCTCTGAACTGAGGTTTTTCTTGTGTGTGCTTGGACATGCCTAAAATATAGTCCTTGTGCAGATACAGAGAAGGCTCAGGGTGGACCTGGAATTGATAAAAAGAAAAACTCTCAAGCAGGCACCATGGTGCCCATCTTTAATGCCAACACTCAGGAGGCCGAGAGGGGAAGGTTTCTGTGAATCTGAGGCCAGCCGGGTCTATGGAATGAGTTTCAGGACAGTCAGGGCTATATCATAGAGAGACCCTGTTTAAAGAAAAGGAGAGAGAAAGCTGGGCGGTGGTGGTACACGTCTTTAATCCCAGCACTAGGGAGGCAGAAGCAGGCAGAGCTCTGTGAGCTCAAGGCCAGCCTCAGTCTGTCCTACAGGGTGAGTTCCAGGACAGCCAAGGCTATATACTAAGACCCTGTCTCAAAACAAAAACCAACAAAAATAATCTTTAAATTACACACACACACACACACACACACACACACACACATATATATATGTATCTACATATACATATATATAGAGAGAGAGAGAGGGAGAGAGAGAGAGAGAGAGAGAGAGAGAGAGAGAGAGAGAGTTGCTTCATAAATAGATACACTGTGCAGTTTAAGGCTCCTACATAAAGAACCTCATTAGGCAGAAACAGGTCAATACCCTGGGGACTGAATAGCAGATTGAAGTTCAAGGCTAGCTCAGACAGCCAGCCATAGCTGATGTTAGGGTCTGGATTTGCCCTCTCCAACCCCAGGGCCAGCTCATATGATGAGATGTGCTACATGCTTTGGGCCACTACTCATATTTAGTGTTGATAACATCTGTTGAAACAGACACAGGCGAGGACTAGGTGATACAGAAGGTGATCCTCAAACACACCTGTGCCGCGGAGGAAGCCTTGGCTACCCAGAGCCACCACCAGGCTGCGACAGACAAGACTGTTGCCGCTATCCATTCTGGCTTCCATGCCCACCCCCAGATCTCAGGGGCCTGTCTTTCCTCCCCAAGTGCTAAGTGCTCTCTTCCCCTGCTCTCTTTGTTGTTGGAGCTGGGCCCGCTCCGTGGGCTGCCCAGGACCTGGTGGAGGAGCCCAGGGTGTTTATGAAAAGGGAAACCAGGAAAGGGCAGCCCGGGGGAGCCAATGGCTATGCTTCCCCCTTGAGACCTCAGGGGCTCTTCGTCCCTTTGATCCCCACTTTGACTTCCTCTGCTCTGCTACCA